CAGAGCAGTCTCAGGCTCCCCTCTTGCTACTAGGCATTTTGGCAAACTCTTCAGTGATTTTTTCCTGCACAGTTTTTTAATGGGAAGTAATGTTCCATTCAATTCTTTCAGCTGTGACTACTATTAATTATTTTCAAAGTTTCCTTTAGGAAGACAGTCTCACAGGAAATATGCTCCTAGTCTCACCTATATGTGCCAGGCGGTTATGCTTCTGGGAGGCAAATCACTCCAGGCTAACAGGAAAGATAAAAATATTTTTTTTCTGTGAATTCTCATGAGGGACTTGGTTTCAGTGCCAAAAAGAATAATTTATGGAGCAGTGAGATCCTGACTACATGAACACTGGATAGGTTAAACATTGGACTCAAGCTGAAGGACTGGTTTAAGAATTATATGGGCACAATGAGGTAATAAAGTTTACTGAAAATAGCTGTTTAGCCATTAATGGGGAAATACTTCTACCAGCACTCCCACAGGTGCTGTTCTCGTAGCTCCAGCTGCTGCATATACATTGCTTTTTACCTTTCGACCGTGTTTTTTCATAACTCTTGTAGCACTGCATGTGAAGAGAAAAAATACCCAAAATAAGGCACAAGCACCCAACTCCCAGTGGACGAGCAGAGGCAGCGGCGGGCGCTGAGGAGGCAGGCTGAGGGTGTTCGACTCCTGAGCAGCCCCTAGTGACCGACCCTCCCCATGGCAGCCTCCTGTCTTCCTGGCTCCACAGGAGCAGGGACGAGACGCACAGGTTTCCCGGAGCAGGAACAACAGATAACTACAAAGAAAGAAAGAAAGAGTACACATGCCAATCCTAGACTTACATTGACACACTACGAAGTAAGTCATCACTTCAAGACAACAAGAAAATAACTGTCGTCCCTTGTATGAGCTACAAAAACGGGAAATTGACGCTTCTACAGATAAACAATATTTTCACTTAAAATTAACTAATGACTTATAAATCAAATTAAAGAAGTGATTGTTATTATTATATATCACTGTATGCTACAACACGTTGATAAAGTTTACATATCATCGATACCAATGTGCTTTTTCTGGTCATCTATTGGACTGCTTGCAGCATTTGAATGCTGAGGATGGGCAAGTTTTGACTCAAGAAAATCCTGCAAGCTGTAGAGTTTGCTGGTAAACAAACAGGAAAAAATCATATGCTTCGGCAATATGTGGGATTTTTTTTAATTATTTTTTTTTTTACTCTCTGCAACAGTAACTTTTTTTTCTAAATACTTTCACCACCTTCAGGAAAGGGTGGGTTAGAGTCAGGGGTTTCCTGAGCCTTTTCAGAACATGGTTTTAACGTAGCTGTGTGTTCAGAAGAGCCCCTAGAGAGTCTTGTTTTGGAACACTCTGACGCCTACACATTATTATCTTTGCTACGTTTTGCAGTTTTGTGTGAAATTTATTTTTAATCTTTAACAAAACACGCCCCTGTTTATCTTAAATTCAGAAAAGGTTTAATAATTTAAAACAAAATAACTTTTTAAATAATTAGATTTACAATGAATGCCAAAACATAAAAGTATAAAGCAAGCTAACAAGAAAGGATTTCTTAAAGATCAAAGAAAATGTGTTTATTTGATTTAATTAAAAACAAATAAAAAGTACTTTCACTTTAACAGGTTATAACTGCTGTTGACAGAAACCAGTGAAAGAGTTTCCCAGTCCCACAGGATAAAGGTTTTCTTCTGTTAGAGGTTCACGTACTCAGGACAGAGTGCCCACTGTCAAAGGAATTATATTTTGAAAAGCAACAAAACTGCATCAATATTAAAAGATGTGGATACAAAGGCAAGTTTCTTTGGACAACATATCCTTTTGCTATTATTAAGTAGGACTAGTGGTGTAAATCAGTGGGCATTTCTATCTTCCACTCCTCAAAAAAAAAAGCTCTTGGAATGGGAAAGATTAAAAAGTACCATTTAATTCACTGGAGAGGCAGGATATATTGTCCAAAAACTGCTTTTACACAGCAGTAGAATTCTCAGAAGAGAGCTGACTTCCGTAGAACTCCTCTTCCACGGGCAGAGGAAGCTGCTATGTGGCAGCCTTTGCCCTGCCAGCCATGTTGTGCCTCTGGCATGAAAGGTTTCCAGTCCACCGGGGAAGTCTCTCCCCAAGGCTTCAATGGGAAATGCACAGATCTCTCATGATGCCACGACGGGATCCGGGCAAGGAAAACCTAAGTAATGGAAACAGGAATTTGCTTTAAGTCAGGATGTCTAAAACTTTGTTTAATGAGGTTTTATGTTTGTTAACACCAATTTAACTGCTAAAAGAACATTGCAAACAGTATGGGTTGTTACTTTTTATAAATAGTAAACACTTTCATAATTTCTAAAAGATAAAAGAATCCATGGTCTAAAGATTGAAACCTCAGTGGAGTTCCCCAGCTAAACCAGAGACCAGATTTGACATTCCAAAAATGCTGAGGTAAAAAACATACAGAAAATATTTAAAACATTCATACGTTTCGACCTTCTCTACACAAAGTAATGAAAACATCATTCTTAAAAACAATAATAAATTGCAGGTTATCTTTAAAAGCAATATGTGAACTTCATCACCCTAACTTTAGTAATAATTTTAGAGGAGCAGTAGCTATTTTCACACTAATTTTAGAGTGTTCCCATACAAGAATGTCCTCTCTAGCAACCACAGTCACTGTATCCCACTTTCTACCCTGTTGCCATCAGCCACCTTTGAACAGACTATCCAGACCTGCAACACTGCCCAGCAGCAGGCTTCAGCACACAGAGAGGCTGCTGTGCCTGAGGCAGTGCCTGTGGGCTGCTGTCTGCACTCTGCTGAGCCCAGTGCTGGCACCTTGAAATCTTCTGCAACACAGAGGGCAGCCATACCTACAGCTTCTGAGTAGTGGAACCACTCATTGCTCACCATATGCTCTCATTTCCGATCAAAGCTTTGGTCAGCCAGATGGTTGTTCATGCAACTTCTATCAACGTGCAGCAGGGCCACAGAGAATGATGAAATACTATTCCAATCATCCACTGCAGAGATATGCTCACTGTGATATCATTAAAACAAAGCTGGTTGTGAAAGAAATCAAGCCGTGCTCCAATTTAAAATACTTGGTAATTTGATGAGAAAATGCATGTGTGATTTGTGTTTATGTCTGGAAGTTTTCCCTAGCGTGAAAGCCTGTCTCTAAAGGAAAACCAGATTTTTCTTGCCATGTATGTTCTTTTATGTTATGCAGCCTAGACTGTGGATTGCAGTGATGTCAAAAATGGACATGGAGTGATTGCATCCTGTCTGTGTCCTGCAAGAATGACTTTGAAAGTTAGATGTTTCATCTCTACAGTCATATCCTGATCAACAAACTCAGTCAATAAATAAATACATTTAGTGACAAACCTAGCTTTTTCTGTAAGCTGCAGTTAAACAGGAACTTGTTTTTTGTACTCACATCTATTCTATAATAATGAATTCAGCACCACAATATCCGAGTAACCATTATAATTATAAGATCAGAGAAACCTTTGTGGTACCCCTTTTCCTAAAAATTATTTAAAAAAACTGTCCTTCATTCTCATTCTTTTGAAGTCTGTGCTCTAAGCCTAGAACCTGAATACAAAGGGCCAGAACTGCGGTTGAGAATGTGTTTTTTTAAGTGGTGAACTGACTTTGCCCAAGAAAGAGGAAAATAGAGTATAAAGCCTATGGATTTTTCATTTATTTTTTTTTTTCCAAAGCTGAGCGTGCCATTAAAACGCCTATAAAATCCCCATTTAAAAATCACTCTTTATGCAAGATTTGGGGCAAAATCTGAAAGGGTTAAGTCAGCTACAGATCTCAGAAGAAATATGTAAAATAAATATACCAGACACACATCTGGAGCTATACATTGAAATCTATGGAAAGATTTCTTATGATTTTTGGAAAGCCTTTTAAAATTCTTTAAGCGCAAGCTAATATGACCTTTATTACCATACTGTTATTGTTGCTACTAATACAGCATTTACGCACCATTTTCAAATATTAACCTGCTGCAGGCCTGTCCCTGTCTGTAACTGACAGAAGATTAGGGCCCTGAGGGCTGCCTGTGGTCCGTGGTAGAGCAGTGCATCAATTGTCTGCACAGTGCTGCCCAGGGAGGCTCTGTGGCCAGCCCAGCACCCAAGGCCACGTTTACCTCAGGACGCACTGCTGCCTTGTTTCGCTACCTCAGGCTGACAGCGCTCTGACGCTCTTGGGGTCACCCAAGCACTCTGGTTTTGCTGCCTGTGGCCCATTGGGAGAGGAGGGGTTTGACCGAGTAAAGCACCCTTCACTTGATACCACAATATAGCTGCCCTGGCCTACTTGTGGGATGCCACTGGCCAGCTCCTGCTGGGGGCCAGGGTGGGACCTGAAGAGCTGTTTTTTGCTGCTATGTGGGTACAGTGCAGTAAGGCTACAAGCAACAGCCCTGGGAGTAAGCAAGCAACGGCCGAGGAAGACACAGGGACAGACTACGAGTCCCCACCCCTCACACCACAGCGCACCCCTTCAGGGCGGCCGCAGTCCCGCCCCCTGCGAGGCCCCGCCCCTGCCCGCACGGTCCATCGCGGGGGGGCGCCGTTCCATCCTTGCGTCTGACGTAAGCGCCGGGGGCGGACCGGAAGTGAGGAGACGGAAGTGGCTGCTG